AAGTCAGCATTACCCAATACCAAAATCAGACAATTACAAAAAAAAAAGTAGACCAGTATCACTGATGAATATTTATACAAAAATCTTGAACAAAATACTAACAAACTGAACCCAACAGCATGTTAAATGCATCAGATACCATGCCAAGTGGAATTTATTAATAAAATGCAAAAAGGGGTCAACATATAAAAATCAGTTAATGTAAGACATCACATTAACAGAATGAAGGAGGAAAAAAACATGACTTTCTTAATTGGTACAGAAAAAGCATTTGACAAAATTAAATTTCTTTTCATGATAAAAGTACTAAACGAATTAGGAATGAAATGAAACTACCTTAACATAATAAAGGCCATATATGAAAAATCCACAGCAAACATTATACCCAATGATAACAGACTGAAAGTCTTTCTCCATGCTCAGGAACAAGCAAAGATGCCTCTTGCTTTCAACACAGTAGTAGAAGTTCCAGCCAAAGCAATTTGAGGAGAGAAAAGAAAAAAAGGAGAGGAAAGGAGAAGAAAGAAGAGGGGAAGGGAAGAAAAGAGAGGAGGGGAAGGGGGAGGAAGGATTAGTCCGTTCTTACAGTGCTATGAAGAGCCTCCTGAGACTGAACAATTTATGAAAAAAAGTTAAATTAACTCATACTTCCACAGGCTTACAATCACGGCAGAAGCATAAAGGGGAAGCAAGACCTTCACATGGCGAAGCATGAGACAATGTGAAGGGGGAAATGCCGCACACTTGTAAACAAGATCTCAAGAGAAATCACTTATTATATCATAAGAACAACCAGGGGAAAATCCACCCCCATGATCAAATCACCTCCCACCAGGTGCCTCCTTCAACACTGAGAATAAAAATTCAACATCAGATTTGGGTGGGGACACAGAGCCAAACCATATCAAAGAAAGAGGAAGAAATAGAAGGCATCAAAACTGGAAAGGAAGAAGTGAAATTATCTCTGTTCACAGACTCCTTGATCTTGTATGTAGGAAATCCTAAAGATTCCACCCCTCAAAAAAACCCTTAGAATTAATAAAGGAATTCAGCAAAATTGCAGCATGTAAAAATCCACATGCAAATATCAGTCGTATTTCTATACACTAACAATTAATAATCCAAAAAGAAAATTAAGAAAACAATTCCATTTACCATTGCATAAAAAAGAAAAAAATGGGTAGAAACTAACTTAAGGGAAAAAATATGCCCTGAAAACTATACAATATTGCTGAAAGAAATTAAATAAGATATAAATAAACAGAAATATTTCCCATGTCCATGGATTGGAATGTTTATACTGTTAAGACAGTAATACTACCTAAACCAATTTACAGATTTAATGCAATCCCTATCAAATCCCAATGACAATTTTTGAAGAAATAGAAGAATCAATCTTAAAATTTATATGGGATCTAAAGGGACCCCAGAAAAGCCAAGATAATCCTGAAAAAGAAGAACAGATTTGAAGGTCTTTTTTTTTTTTTTAAACTTACTACAAAGCTACAGTAACCAAAATGGTATAGTACTTGCATACAAACAGACATACAGAGCCGTGGAATAGAATAGAGAGTCCAGACATAAACCATCACATGTATCGTCAAATGAATTTCAACAAGGGTACCAAGACCACTCAATGAGAAAAAGATGGTCTTTTTAAACAAAATAGTATTGGGAAGATAGTTATCCACATGCAAATTAATTAATTTGGATCCTCATATTATACCACATACAAAAGTTAACACAGAATGAACCAAGTTAAGGACAACGTATTGTATATTTCAAAATGACTAGTAGAAAGGAATTGAAAAGTTCTCAGTACATAGAAATAATCAATAGCTGAGGTGATGGATACCCTAAATACCCTGACTTGATCTTTAGATAATCTATGCAGGAAATAAAATATCACAGGTAACCCATAAATATGTACACATATTACATATCAAAAAAGGACCAAAACCTAAATGTAACAGCTAAAATGATAAAACTTTTAGAAGGAAAAGTAGGGAAGTCCCACGTGAGATTACATTAATCTTGGTTAATCTAAGATTAGATTTGGCAATGATTTATTGGGTATGAAATCAAAAGCTCAGATAACAAAAAAAAAATCAGACAACATCAACATTAAAAACCATTGTGCATCAAAAGACACTGAGTAAAAATTTTCTCCCACAAGATGGGAGAAAATATCATAAACCATATATCTGATAAACATCTAATACTCTGAATATACAAAGAACTGCTACACTCAACCACAAACAAAACAGCAACCCAGTTAATAAATGGTCAAAGCTCTTGAATAGATATTTCTTCAAAAAAAGAGATACAAATTTCTGAAAAGCACATGAAATGATGTTCAACATTACTAATCATTAGAGAAATGCAAATCAAACCCACAATGAGAAATCACTTCTCATCCATTAGCATAGCTATTATTTAAAGGACAAAAATGAAATAGAAAATAATGGTCTGTGAAGATACAGAGAAATTTTCACCCTTGTGTGCTGCTGTGGAATTGTAAAATGGTGTAGTCACCAGGGAAAACAGTATGGTGGTTCTTTGAAAATTAAACATAAAAGTACCATATAATCTAGCAACTCCATTTCTGGGTACATACTCAAAAGAATTAAAAGCAGAGACTGTAATATATATCTGTATACTCATTTTCATAGCACTGTTATTCACAACAGCCAAAAGTGAAAGCAATCTGTGCTCTGTGTCCCTTCATGGATTAAACAAACATATATATATATATTTACTATTATTTAGCCTTAAAAAGAAAAGACATTCTGACACATCCTACAAAATGGTCGAACCTTGAAGACACTTGAAAATGGTTAAAATTGTAAATTTTTTATGTATATAAAAAATAATAAAAATTTTTCTTTAAAGGATCAATGAAATGATCAACTTATTACTGTAACATTTTATATTATTATTACTAAATTTCAATGTAAAATTTTTCTGCCACTGGAATAAGAAAAGATAAATGTATTTTTCAATGAAGTAATTTATAGAAATGCTTATAAATTCTGGAAAGTAATACTTGATGAATATGTAACTTGCAAACATCTATCATTGTTAGCATGTCTTTTAACTTTATTCTAAATATCTTTTGATATCAGAAATTTTAAAATGTAGTCAGTTTATCAATAGTTGTTCTTGTATCTTCCTTAAGAAATATTTTCTTGCTTATTATCATCAAGGTATTCTCTTTTATTCACTTAAGGTTTTTTTTTCTTTCTTTTTCTTTGAAACAGGGTCTTGCTCTGTCACCCAGGCTGAAGTGCACTGGTGCAATCTCTGCTCACTGCAACCACCTCCCAGGTTCAAGCAATTTTTTTGCCTTAGCCTCCCAAGTAGCTGGGATTATAGGCATGCACTGCCACACCTGGCCAAATTTTGTATTTTTAGTATAGACAGGGTTTCATCATGTTGCCCAGGCTAGTCTTGAACTCCCAGGATCAAGCCATCTTCCCACCTTGGCATCCCTAAGTGCTGGGATTACAGGCATAAGGCACCGTGCCCAGCCCTCATTTGACTTTTTAATCCATCCGTAATGATGTAAGCTATAGAACCTAAGTGGAGAGCTTTTCCTTTCTGCTTTGTGAAACATTTGCTGTCATAAACCAATGTCTTTTATATACTAGATTGTTTTTAGGCTCTAAGGTTTATTTTTGTTTGTTTGTTTGTTTTTGTTTTTTTGTTTTTACCACTGCAATGTTTTGATTATATAGTAGGAAGTCCATGTGGCCAATTAAATCCCATGCCATAAGAAAAATGAGGTAGCAATGTGACTAAATGACTAAATTTAGTCAATTTGGAAACACTAATGCTGATGCATGATGCTATATGTGTTTGTGTGTTTGTGTGTTTGTGTGTGTGTGTGTGTGTGTGTATCTTTAATACTCTCACCAAAAGTGATCCAACAATAACAACAATCCATTCTCCTACAACTACCACTCATATATTAATTTTTGGTCTTAATGCTATTGTAGACTGAAGGAGAACAGGTTGCCTTGGAGGTAGCTCTTTGCAAATCATAAGGAAGAAAGGTAAAAGTATATATGGGTCTGGATTATCTTGGGTTTTTTTAATTATTATTTTTAAATATACTCCTTACCATGAATTTGAGAATCTTTAAAAAGTGCTTCCCACAATTTCTTTTTTCTTTTTTTTTTTTTGAGACAGAGTCTTGCTCTGTTGAATAGTCTGTGGAGTCCAGCGGCATGATCTCGGCTCATTGCAACCTCTGCCTCCTGGTTCAAGCAATTCTCGTGCCTCAGCCTCCTGAGTAGCTGGGATTACAGCTGTGCGCCACCACACCTGGCTAATTTTGTTTGTATTTCATTAGACATGAGGTTTCACTGTGTTGGCCAGGCTGGTCTCAAACTCCTGACCTCAAATGATCTGCCCACCTCAGCCTCCCAAAGTGCTGGGATTATAGGCGTGAGTCATCACGCCTCTCACAGTTTCTAAACCTAAAACAGTTTTGTTCCTTCCATACTGTCTTGTGTCATTCTAGAAAATATGTGTCTGATTACTAGTAATAATAAAGCACTTACAATAAAAGGAAATCCCATACAGTTACAGCCTTGGGCAATTTGGTTGGTTCTTTTCTTAAAATATAGTCAATCTTCCACTTGTATATATAATGCATGTTGTAAAATGTGTTACACTGTTGAATGAATATGTTGTAAGAAAGCCTGTACTCTCAGAAAGATAAAATATTATATAAATCTTTAGTCAAGATATTTTCCCTGCTGATAAAAATTGCAGTAGATTATTTACAAAGATGTTCACATTCCTTCATGCTCCTTTGCAGTATAAGTTCTCATTCCTCACAGTACAAAGTAGTGTCTATCCTCTCTTCCTCCTTGAATTTGGTTTGAATTTGTGACTTGCTTTGACAAGTTTCAGGCCTGAGTTTTAACAGGCCATGCAGCTCCTGCTTTCATTCTCTTGGAACCGTGCGCTCACTATGCTGTGAAGCAGTCCAGTCTTCGTTAACGGAGATGAAAGATAATATGGAGGAGAATTGAGGTCCTCTAGCCAACAACTAGCCCCAATTGCCAGAGACAGATGCATTCCATCTTGGACCATCTGGCCCAACCACTGGCTGAATACAGCTGCCTGAGGGCATCTAGACAAGCCCAGCAAAACTACTCAGATAATTCACAGAATGTTCTGAATTAATAAATCATAAGTTTAAGCTACAGCATCTCAGGATTATTTTTTTACACAGCAATACGTAACTCAAGTAACAACATATACATAGATATAAACAACAACATTTTTTTTTTAGATGGAGTCTCACTGTGTCACCCAGGCTGGAGTCAGAGGTGCATCTTGGCTCACTGCAACCTCCACCTCCAGGTTCAAGGAATTCTCCTGCCTCAGCCTCCTGAGTAGCTGGGACTGCAGGAGTGTACCACCACACCTGACTAATTTATGTATTTTTAGTAGAGATGGAGTTTCACTGTATTGGCCAGGCTGGTCTCGAACTCCCAACCTCATGATCCACCTGTCTCAGCCTCCCAAAGTGCTGGGATTTCAGGCATGAGGCACTGCGCTGAGCCACAATAACAATTTTTTCAAAGTTATCTCCTGTTTGAGTTAAAATTTTTTAGCTTACTTCAAAGGACGCTGCAGATTTTGTAAGCAAATGAGCAGGAGATTTTTATGTTAATTTTTATAGAGGCCCCTAAGATTTCTCACAAAAGAAGACTGTGGAACACTGAACTCTTTTTTCTCATGGTTAAGGAATGTATTGTGCACTGAGATAGAGCAGGGACCCTGCTTATGGACCTGCAGGTCCTCCCAAGCATGGAAGTAAAGGAAAGTCTTGAGTTCCAACAAGGAAAATTTCAGGCACCCAGCTAGCCCTGAGAAATAAATAGGCAATGTGATAAGCAACAAGGCAACTTAAAACAATAGATTCATGGGATGTTTGGTTTCCCTACAGAAACTACAGATAACATCTCAACATATGTCCCTGAATTGTTTTTCAGAAACCCAGGACCCCACCAAACTGATCTGCTGGCACGTAGACTTCAGAGAAGGTGGAGTAAGGGGGAACAAGGAACTGAATTCTGACCACTATTCTTTAAATTTCTTTCTGAGGGGCCTGGAGGAAGTTACGTCCATGAGCCAGAGCTAACAGTCTTTTTGCTGACTCCAAATTTTTAAACAAAGCTTCTCTTTCTTAACCAATTGTGAATCAGAAAGTCTTAAAATCTACCTCTGACTTGTAAGCCCCCCACTTTAAGATATCCCACCTTTTTAGGCCAAACTAATGTGTAGCCTCCATATATTGATTTATGATTTTCCCTGAAATTTTTGCATTCCTGAATTTTACCACGCCTTTAAAAACCTTTACTTGTAAGTAATTGAGGAGGCCAGAACTTAACTGAGAGCTGTCTGAATCTCCTTGCTTGGTGTCCTACAAATAAACATCCTCCTTTTGAAACTGGGCTCAAGAGTCCCACAGGCAGTTGTTTTTGGATAAACACAGAAATTGACCCTTCTGCTGTTAAAGCTTGAAACTTACATTTGTTTTATCTGAGTTCCTTCCTCAGGAAATGACCTCCAGGCCTCTCACAAAAAGTATCCAAGAACTGAAACCAGAGGCCAGACCCCTCATCATGATTGCTTCCTTGCCCATCCCAAGTTCATATTTTCTTACACATTGTTACATTACTTCCCTATTATATAAACCCCTGGTTTTAGTCAGTCAGGGAGATGGATTTGAGACTGAGCTCCCATCTCCTTGGCGATACTTGTCATCCCAGTGATTGGCTTTCTGTGCAGTGAGCAGCAGGACCTAGACCAAACCCCTGGTGTTTTGGTGACACGTTCTCCTGCTGCAAACCTCAATGTGGATGTTTGGCCTTACTGTGTCACATGAACAGATTCCAGTTTTATTCAATAACAAATGTTTCCCTACCAGCAGACCTGTGAAATTTTCTCCACCTTTGGATCACTGAAGTACCTTTGTTGATGTTTATTTTTATATTGATTTGTTTCCTCCAATACTGAACCTCAATCCACAGACATTTTTCCCTATTTTTTCCATTTCCAAGCTTGAGCCTTTAGACATCATCCATCAGAGTTTTCAATTGCAGGCAAAAATATTTAACTTCTACTCTTTTGAGGAAAGCAGAAATTTATTGCAAGGAAATCAGAGTTCCCAAAACTGATGACAAGCTAGAGGATCAGGCCTGTGGAATCTATAACTAAAGAGCTCCAAAGAGCTCTGCAGAAGAAACCAATATTGAGATTATGCATCAGGGCCAGACTAGTTCATGGGAATCATTCTTTTGCAATTAATCCCAATGTCTTTGTGGGTCACCTACTTGAGAGTTAAAGTTCCCGAAGAGAGTTCCTGATTGGCTGAGCCCAGAGGTCATGGCCTAGCCCCTGGCTGCATCAGTGTAGAGACTGAGAAGATGTGGCCCCTTAGCTTCCATGGGGAAGAAATTACTTCTCACCAAGTCCACAAACAGAAGTAAGTCTCTTTGATGGTACTAAGAAGACTTGAATGCCAGACAGCCAAAAAGCAGCCATGTGCATTACAAATAATTTTGCTACCATTTTGAACATGTTATAAATTTGTTCTTTTCTGTCTCAATTATAAACTTCATTTGAAGGGCTTTAAATGGGTTAGAATCTACCTTTTAAGTACCACTAAAAAGTTCCATATTCATCTTAATTATATTATTCCTTTTTTCAGTTTTCCAGTTCATAATATTTTTAATAAAATAAAATGTATATGTTGTAAGTTTTATTTAATTGTTTGATCCTCATTGTACAAGTATTGTGTGTGTAAAACTAACATCCTGGGTTGTTAGCAGCACTACAAATTAATGGCTTGCAATGCTCATTTGTCAACTAGATGAAATTTGTAAACCAAAAATAAAATCCTAAGCCCTTCATCCAGCTGAAAGGACATGCTCTTGGCCAAGGGGACCCCAGAGAAACCTGAAAAACCGAATTCCCGACCATGACAGGAAGGGAGGTCAGACACAGCTCATTACGCCTCGTCCCTTTTGGAGCTTAGGCAACGTTAACCAGCATTAACGTTGAAACACAGATCTTAAGACTAACAGAACATACTCCTCATGGCAATAAGATATCAAATTCCCACCTGACTCTGGTATAACATCACATGACAGATAACAGACACTGAAAGAAATCAAAATATTTCATCTCAAAATACATATATTTGACATATTTTGAAATGACCCTGCAAAGCCATCTCTTGTGGAGAAAATTTGCATCTGTAGAGAATCTCCATTAATGCAGCTAGGGCTTCCCTTTCTAGATATTTCCAGGATTACAGAGAGATTAAATGAGAGCCTAACATCTTCAAGGTGTGAAAACAGACATTTATTATTTATTCTCTGAAAGCTGCTACCTGGACACTTCATCTGTATAACACGAACCTTAGTCTCCAAACCCCGTTTATTTTAAATATTTCTTTCTACTGACTTTAAGTCCTTAGACAAACCTTAACTCTTTCAATCAACTGTCAACCAGAAAATCTTTGAATCCAGCTATGATCTGTAAGCCCCCTCCTTCAAGACATCTCATCTCTTTAGGCTGAACCAATGTATATCTTCCATGTCTTTATTTATGATTTTACCTACAATTCCTGCCTCTCTAAAAATACATAAAATCAAAATATAACCTAACTGCCTCAGGCAAACTTTCTCAGGACCTCTTGAGACTCTTCCCCAGGGCCATGGTCACTCATAATTGGCTCAGAATAAACCTCTTAATATATCTTACAGGGTATGGTTTTTCCATTAACAAATTCCAATATGAACATACTGAAGTCAAGGACTTCTGGTGTCCCATCCCCTTTCTCATGAGGAAGTTCATTTATACCTGCTGTAAACCAAGGCTAATGGAAACTGCTATTGGGGGTGGAGGAGGGGCATGGAGGGAGTTTCTTTTCTCTCACTAATTCTGTTCCTTTACCTGAAAGCCTTCATTACACAAATACAAACATAATAACAAAGAAGTGGGTATCATAAGAACATTAGGATTGAAGCCTAAATGGAATATTCTAACAAGTGCCTCTTAATTGGAGGAATCCAAATCAGGATGAAGACAGGTATGAGCAGTGAACAGATTTGAAGTAAGATTTGCTCATCATAGGATATCTGTCTCTAATCATACAGGTTGTCATTTCGATAGCACAGTATAATGAAATGTAGCATTTAATCAGAAAGCATTGATTAATATATTAAAGCCATTATTGCAATAAGAATGGTTCATTTATATATAGATAAAAAAATTAAAAACCAAACCATTGCTTATCAAATTTCTTACCCCCCTGGCACAGACTAAAAGAACAGCTCAGTATAACACTTTATCTCCAGGCAGGTGAGAATCCTGCAGCTCCTTCTTCCCAACACGGTATTGATAAAGGGCCTCTTATCTCATTATTACAGTAATGGCATTTTAAAATGAAAATGCTAAACTTTCATTTCAAGATAGCAGAAAGGACATGATCTTTTCCTTTCATACCAAAACCCTAACAATAACAGAAAACATATTTTAAGAGATATTCAGCCATGCTGAAAGATAAAAATGAGAACTTAGATAAGAAACTGTGAGAAATCCTGGAAACACAAGAGGCCAACAGATTGGATTTATGAGGAAACTCATAGCTCGAGATAAGTGTGAGAAAGTTCCAGCGGAGAAGGTGGGAGCAGCCACAAGGGTTTTCTACATGAGTATTTTAGTGTGAAAATTCTTTCGTGGTATTTCTTGGGAAATTTATGTTTTTCAGAATCTTAAGAAAAATCAAAAAATCAAGTTAAGAAACTAAGAAAAGGATTTACTTCTTCCATAATTATTAAAGACTAGCAATCAACGTGGAAGCATTACTGGTTAGAAGGAGTTCACTGATGTCTAGTTGAAAGCAAGACATTTTGTGGCTGAAAGTTAAGGCCAACATTTCCAGGAATCTAAACAGAACATGGAGGAGAAAAGCAAGAACCATC